GTTGTCATTTGTAGATCTCTTTCTGCCTGCACTCTGCAGTGGATCATTAATATTTCAGGTTTATTTTCCATTGGGCTACGTGCCTGCAGCACACAGCTGATTCTAGCATGAAAAATTCACAGCAAATTACAGCTCTCCGGAGGTGCGGTGATTGCCGGATGAGTCAGGCCCAGGGTCTCACTGCGGTTTTCCTCTCTGCTTCTTCCCTTTTTGGGGTGCTGGGCTCCTGCAGTCTACTTGGACCCGTGCAGGGCTATTTTTTTTTCCTTTGCAGGGCTCCAGCATAAGGATTATCAAACAAAATTCAGTCTCATCAGAGCGGCGTGTCAATAGATTGTGTGTTGAGCGAGTTGGTGGCAACAGAGGTTTTTAATGTTCATTTTAGTGTTTTTACTGCAAGTCATTCTTGCTATTATAGCTTAGAAAAGACCAACACAGTCCCCTTTGCATGGGGTGCTAGAAAAGCACAAAAAGGAGAATGGGAACCAGAAAGGCACTGACATACAGCAGGAGGGTTAGATAACTAGTCCCAGTGGGCTCAGCCTAGAAATGGGCTTGGGCATCCCCCCCCTGCAGCCAGTGGAGGCAACTGGGGGCCTCTGAGCTTGGGGGAGAGGAAAGAGGAGCCAATGTCCTTATTTTGAATGTGCAAAGCACAAGGAACTTAAGGCTGGGATTTAATTTCTAGGTGAGTGAGCTTAATGTGCTGTGTGTGTGGAAGGTGCTCAACTCTTGTGAGAAGCCAGCCCTTGATTGCAGCTGCAGAGTGCCAAGAAACTTGACCACTGGTGTGGGAGTCAGTACCGTAGCCCCCTCTGAGGATCAAAGAGGGGCTGTTGCCTTGAAATTTGGCTCGAAGCTCCGTGAGCCATGTCAAGGAGGCAGTGGGCATCTTCTTGCTCTTCTCAGGTGTGTGTGTTGGGAGCGAAGGCGGCGCAAGCAGGGATTGGAGAAGGGTGGACTCACAACAGAGTTAGATGCCCACAGCAAAGTGTGTAGGTACTCAGTTGGCATCTCTAAAGGGGGAGAATCACATTCTTCTGTTTCAGTATCTTGACTGGGAGCAGATTATACTATATTTTTTTGTTTTTTTCCTCTGTTCAGGTTATCTCATGGGTTTTCTACTGTTATGAAGCCTCATCACGGAACGGGGCTGGGTAGCAGGGATTTTTTGGATGAGCTAATTTATAAAACATGTTTAGCAATTCACTGCAGCACTTTACTGGGACGTACCCACTGATGGGATGCAGGGACATGTCTCTCAGTGATAGCCGCAAAAAGTGACATGGAAAATACATTACTCCAGTGCACTTAAGGACAAGGAAAAAAATAGATTTGGTGTATTGCAGAGAACGGCTCGTTTTTCTCTCCATGCGTGGACAGATGTAAGAGAGACAGCTTTTCTGTATCTGCAGCACAGAGTCAGCACACCTGAGCTCTGTCCTCATCTGTACTGAGATTTCTAGAAAACTTCTCTGGTCTTTCACAACAGTTTTTGACTGCAGGAGGGGGAAATGCTTTCTTTTCTGAACTTCTGCTAAATTTATGTTATTCTTTCCATTTATCCAGTTGCCTGGGGCTGTGCACTCTGATCTATTTTGTCGGGCATGCGACCAGGGTTTCCCTCTGGTCCTGGGTACAATGGCTTAGGCCAATCCCATGGAAACTGCTTTCTTTTTTTTAATAGCTCTTGCAGACACATTTGTCAATATTTCAGTCTCTACTCTTTTTTTCCCCCAGACCTTCTAAAGGCTGGGGCCATGCATTATGTGGAATTATTTATGGATCTAATGTCAGTAAAAGCCTGTTAATATCTGTGCCACTTTTCTGAAAACTGCTTTAAAGTGATTTGGGGGCCAGGGCAATTGCTGGCAACCCGACAGCCCCCCCTGCTCCTTTCCCAGGGCCTTTATTTCCTCGGCACCAGAGGAAGATCAGAAGCATCCAACGATGCCATGCTCGGGAAGTTATTAATAACCTGATGATTAAGGACTGGCACTCCTCAGCCACTGGTGAATAACACTAAGTAGGTGATGGCTGAGGTTCACATTTACTGATGTTATCAACCAGTGGCAAAGGCGGTCGTAGTAAAAGCCTTTTGTTTCATAGCACTGGGAAGCCACCATTAGGCCCAGTAGGATGGCAGAGAGACAGTAAAGCCTGAATTCTTAGAGTCTGTCAGCTAGGAAATCTTCGACATTTCCATAAGTTTTCACACACCAGTGGAGTCAACCTACAGCCTTTTATTCACTTATTTATTGAGAGGGTAATGATTTATGCATTACTACGAGGCTATGAAAGATCTGCTGGCATAAGGAAGAAAAAGGGGAAGAAAAGTCTATATTTCAAGTTACAAATGGCGTTTATTATTCATTTGGGTAAGGGCTGGTAGGAAAACATTTTGTTTTCTGGGCAGTAAAACCTGAATCAATTAGGGTCGTGCTGTGTAATGCTTAAAGCATGTACTGTCTGTGGTGTCATGTTTGAAGGGTTGGGTTTTGCCTATTTATTAGTTGCCTGGTGCCTCTGTGTCTGAAAATCTGAACGTGCTCCAATGTCCCCACCCTTCCTGGCTGACGGCGTCCTTGTTAATGTCTCCCAAATCTATAGCCCAAGGTCAGAGGATGCAGTAAATTCGGAATTGATTGGTTTGAGGTGATAGCAGTCATCCGATAGCAAGCAGGAGAAACTTCTTCTCCATGCCCCATTGCCCTCTTATGGCCAGTGTTGAATTTGCACAGCGGAGTGGATCATTCAGAGGGCCAGATAGGAAATGTTGTGGTGGTCCTGTGTGTCCCTTATTTTCAAGAAGCCCCACAATTGTTCACAGTGAGGATTGATTTGGGGGTGCAAAGAGCAAAAGGTACGCTCTCTCCTGGTATCCCCATCCCTCAGAGAGAGATGGAGGGAGGGAAAAGAGGGATGAGAGAGGGTGGTATATTCAGAGATTGAAAAGAAACAGGAAAAAAAAAAAGACGTTTTTGCTTTTCCATGGATTAAGGGAAGATGGAGGAGTGGAGTCATCACTCATACTAAAAAAAACCACCCCCAAACTATGGTAAACTGCTTTGCTTTTGGGCTGAGAGCAGGACAAGTGTCTGACGCCTGGTTCCTGCATAGAAAATAGGAATTCAGTCAGTGTCACTTCACTGGTGGTGACTGCACTGTGCCCAAACCCCTTCTGTGTCTCACGGCGTGATACAGGCAGGTGGGCTTGCTGCTCTGCTGCACCGTGTGTGTCCCATCACGTTGAACAAAGGACCCTCCACCAGGAATAAGGGAACACCTGGACCTGGCTCAAGCTATTGCGATGCAGTGCCAGATGTGAGCCCACAGAGGGAAATATATCTGGTGAGGGACCAGTCCTCTGGGGTTACGTACTGCAGGCTCTTGGCAACTGGAGTGCTGAAGTTGCCTTCAGTTTTCTTGGGTTCACTTTCCTCTTGCAGTAGAGGCTTTTTAACAGTAGATGTCACGTTTGCATAACTCAACAATGGATTGTTCCTACAGAGGAGCCCTTTTGTGCAAATCCTGACTGGAACATGTGCTCCATCACAGGAGATACTGGTGCCTGTTCTGTGGATGCTGGGGCCAAGAAAAGCTGTGAAAAATCATAAACTGCTGTAGCTGTGTGCTCTTATAGATTTTTCTACTGATTTTTCTACTGCTGAAGATCTGCTTGGTCTCAGTACAGCACTCACACTCTTCTTGGGTGTAGACTTTACTTACTGAAGGTGGTCAGATACTAAGGAGGTTTGAATCCATACAGGTCAAACAGGGTTCTGGTTTCCTGCAGGAGAACGTAAACCCAAGCTCCATGGTTTGGGAGTTGAGTCTTAGGAAGGTAACTAAGAACAAGCAAGTCTCTAGACTTTAGCTTACTTTGAATCTCTATATCCTTGGAAAATTCTTGAGTGCTCACAAAGTGAAAAAGGTTGGAAACCATGAAGAAATATATTTTAAGGTGGCATATATGTGGCATATAGGTGGCATATACTATATGTTATATAGTATCTTGTCAACCCTTATTATGGAAACCATGAAGAAATATATTTTAAGGTGGCAGAAAAACTGTTATATAGTATCTTGTCAACCCTTATTATAAATTTAATTCAGCTTTACTAACTTGGCAGGGTTTGGCAATATCTGTGAATGACCTTTCTGGTCCAAATTGGGAGTTTTAGGGATTTAGCAATGTTATAAATGATCCCGCTTTACACTGTTGTCATGTGTTGCTTGTGAAAATACTGATCTTTAAAAAACAAAGAAACTACCTTCCATATATATAGAATACTTTTAATACAGAAATCTTTGTAAATACATTAATTACAGTTCATAAAAAATAAATTCAGAATCTTTACACCATAGTCAAATACAGATAGATTAAAATCCATTTCTGACTCAAAATAAAGAAGCAGTTATCCAAAGTGGAAGAAAGCTATGGTCTTCCACTAAAAATCTATCCTAAAACAAAAACTTCACCTCGCTCCTCGAACTGAAGACTGTAATTTCATCACATCTGTGTTTTGCAGAGCGTACAGTACTTGATTGGCAACCTCAAAGCAAGCCTAGCCCAAGAGAAGAAAGGTGTTTTATGTGTATTTCTGTATCGGAGAGGATGGGTTTGGGGCAGTGACAGTCACTGGAAAAAACAAGGCTCTGCCTTTGAAAAGTGACCGTATGGTGACGTGTTTGGTTCCCAAATATGATTATGTGGATCAGGATTCCAGCAGGTGTGAGCGGGTTCAGGAACTCGAGTAGAAGGTTTTGGGCTCTCTGAGGATTGGGCTTTTTTAAAAGTCCTAATGGGCCCTGGTCAGGACGAAGTGCAGGTAAAGGTTCTCAGGCACAAAGCTGGCCCAGGGCCCCATATCTCATTTTGGCAGTTTGGCCACCATGTGCCCTTCTCCAGCAAAGCCCCCAAGGGCTGGGAACTGCCTTCCTGACCCAAACCCAAATCCAGTTCAAACTGGAATCTCTATAAAATCTTGAGTACTTCAAGTCCAGGGCAATTTTGTTTCTCTCTCCCTACTTTTTTTTTTTTCTTTTTTCCTTTTTTTTTTTTTCCTGGTAAAATTTTGTTTCCTTGAAAAACACTTCTGTGCGCTTTAACCCAAAAATACTGGTGCCAACCGCAGGAATAGTAACAGTGCCAACAGTAACAACAGCATCAGTGCCAGCACCCTCACAGTATTATTGACATCGAGGCCAACAGTACCACGCAGAGATATGCCAGCAGGCCCATAGTGTCAACAGTGCTGATGCCAACCAGCCAGAAGGGAATGAAGAACCCCTCAGTAATAAACCAGTGTGCAAAGCCTCACGCCATGGTGCTGTCCCATAATAACAAACCCCTGGGCCCGGCCTAGCTCTCATTAGCAACTTTACAATAACACATCCCGGGACAAGAGCAATTAAACGAAAAGACCGAGGTGTGTATATCCTGGACTGGAGAAATACTCAGATATTTTTGGAGCTGAGGGGCAAATGAAGTAAATGATTAGGGGTTTTGTTGACAGTGCTTTTCTAAATATTTCTGTCCAAGTGCAGTGGTGGCAGCTGGAGCACTTTTTAAACTGGCACAGCCCAGAGCACTCGCAAGCAGCAAGTGGTTTGACTCCTGTGTGCTTTGCTTTTGAGCGTATCTCCAGCTCTACCTACCCAACAGAGGAATCTTGTTTAACAGGTAATCTAAGGATTAATGAGACAACACGATCCAAAAGGATCTTTCCAGAATCAATGCCTTGCCAGTATGCAATCTTATTATTCCAAGGCTAGTTCAGGCCCCGAGGACCCAAACTTTTCTCCAAAGCGCAGGAAGGACTTTTCTTGTCCCAGAACTTGCAACTTGCACCTGAAGTAGAAGGTCTGGTCTGTTGCTGAAGAGAGGGCTGGTGAAGATCCAGAAATGTAGCAAAAAGTTTACAATTTACAACCATGCAGTAGCCATACTTCCCCTGATCTTCCCAGGTCTGTACCCAGAAGAGCCGTGTAGATGCAGGGCATCCCAGTGCAGCCACATCTTCTGGTGGTGTGCTAGGAGTCAGGATGTGCTTCATAACTCACTCCCAGTCTATACCTCAGTGTGAGCAGTGATTCTGCTTCGTTTCCTTTTGGACAGTAGCTTGATGTCATCAACCAAAGAGTTCTTCGTTGTTTGAAAACCAAAGTTTTTCTTTCAAAGCAGCTGTCAGTTCGGTTGCTCTTTTTTTTAAAAGAGAACAAGAAGATGATCTTGGTTGCCTTTGCCAAAAGTTGGAGGAATCAAGGGGCAAAAATATTGTCCCTGAAAATTTTAGCTATCTCAATCAGCCCTACTCCAGAATCTTCATACTCTGGGGTTAACTGGAGGTTTTAAAGCCTGAGTGAAAAAGAGAGAGTTACACAAATCACAGTGAGCCTGGTGCATTTCAATGAGTTACACCCCGAAAGAATTGCTCTTCACGTTTGAACTTGGGTTTACCTTTGGTGGAGGTGTGGGTTTGCCTTTGGGAACTGGGAGAGGAACAGGTTTTCTCTCAGGTGCCTATAACAGAAATGTAGTTTTAATGTCATTAGGTTTCCTTGTCTGAGCAGCTGCAGGACCCCATAGACCTTGTGTACTTACTACAGCATTTTCCTGGTGGAAAAGCTGGGGGTAAATTAGATTTATCTGTCCACATACAAGAAGGTGCAATAATACAAACACACAAGGGGTTTAGGCCTCCTGTTTCAGAAGAGCACTGAGCTATTCTCAATGTTTAAGTTCATCTGTATCAAGTATTCATGATCAAATAGACTGCTTAGGAAGCTAAAGCTGCTCACGTACTCAAGGTGTGTGTTGAGGAAAGCATCTCTAAAGACAGTGGGATTTAACTGTGTTTTTATAATCAAGCTGCAATATGGAGTTTTTTAAATGACTTATTTATTTATTGCAGTATCATGCAATTGTGTTGCTATTGTGAAGATTCTACACCCTTGGGCAGGGGGTTCAAAAAGCTGAGGTGGTAAATATTTTCTGATAGTCATTTGCAATGCAGATGAAAGACGTGCAAAGTGGCAGGGTTATACTTACAAAAATCTCTTCTGTGTGAGAAGATGCTGGTTTGGTAGAAGGAACAGGAGGTGGGGGACCTTTTGGCCTTATGACAGGCTGTGAAAGAAGAGAATATAAAACATATTGACCCTATATACAGATTGTGTATGTGTACATCCGTGTGTTCCCATGGGACTGTGCAGAACTTGTGTTCTATAGAAAAAGTGCATTTATAGGGGTAGAAGGATGCACTTGTTTCAGAAGTAGGGATGCTTTATGCTGTCTGGCCCTGAGAACGTGCAGTAATCTCCCCAGCCTTTGGGATCAGATTTGTCATTGAGGGTCTCCACCATGGGGTGAACTGGTTTGGATGGTCTTCCCCAAATCCAACATGGGAGCAAAGGACTCTCTAGAAGTACTTACGCTCTGGTGCTGTGGTTTGTTCTCCTGCAGTGGAGGTACGGGAAGGAGGAGTTTCTTATCATTTGTCTGAAAAGAGAGAATGGTTAAATCGTTAGAGCCCTTACCTTCTGCATTATTTTTAGTCAGGGACTTAGTGCCATGTGCTTTCCCCACTCCCTCCCCATGCTGGGATTCGCAGCACTGTCCTCTCGGCCACAAACAAGGGGTTTGAAACCCTCATGGAAGTGTAGCACATTTAGCTAATGAGTTTTGATGTTTCAACCCCTTGGTTATGATCCCAGGCAGGCTATGGCTGACCCAGTGCTTCCCCGCTCTTACCTTCTGGGCAGGTGCCACCAGGACAGGATGTTCTCTGCATCTCTGTTCTTGACTCACAAAGACTTGGTTTGTGGTTCCAGGTCCCCTTCTGGTCTGGCGGCTATGCAAATATTACATATGATTGTAAATCTCACCCACACTGAAGTAAAAATACTTGCTAAAGTTGAATGCCTGTCATACTCCTATTGGTGTGTTATATAGCCATGTCCTTTCTTTATTTCTTTATCTCTCCCTCTTTTTTTTAAACTTATTTAGAATTAATCTTGAGAGCTTCAATTTCAAGTCTTCAGTTCTCTCCCAACTATCGGATTTCTGAAACAGCTCATCAAAGACCAACTTCCTTGGCTTTTCAGTGTCTAATTCCCTCCACACCTTTGAAAACCCCAGCTTAAAACCTATCCAGAAGTTTCATGGCTTTAGGTTTTTTTCCCTTATTGAGGGTAAGAATTTTACCTCTTCTTGAATACTCGGAAGCGGATGAGTAACACTGCTGTAGTAGTTGTGACAGCAAGGACAATCAGGACACCAGCAACAATGGCAAAGCCTGGCAGGGACAGAGAACAAAAGTTGTTATTTCTTAAAAGATCTACTATTACCAAGCAGTTTCCCATCACCACCATTGGCAAAGTAATTTTCTTCACAAGGTGTAGACCCACTATTGCTCAAGCTTATGGCTGCTTCTCCTGACACAAATGCTGATGGAAAGGAATGTATTCCTGCCATTTTTGCCATATTTGAAGACTGTGGTTATTGCCTGAGCTGTCCTTGGGTTAAACAAACCTAGCCCTTTCTGTCCATCCTCAAAGACCATTTAATTGTATTTTCTCTTCTGTCTCTCAAAGGGTATTACCCAAAGATGGGAGCAGGCCTTTGGCAGTGTATGCAAGTCGGGCTTCACAGTTTTCCTTCAACAAAGCTATTCTAAAGCCTTAACCAAGCCACAATGTTGAGAACTGACTCTAGTGAATGTGGAGAGAGGACAAAAGTATTTAATAACAAAGGCTTAATTTTTTTTTTTTCCCCAAACACATGGAAACATGTACACAAAGTATTTTCCCTCAGAGGCAGATCAGTTAAAGGCCAGTTCCAAGCAGATGATAAAGAAATGAACTTGCCCACCTCCTGCACAGCAACACCTCTGGGAGCTTGCCTCCACTCAAAGTTAGGTGAGCTGATATGGTGTGCTTGTTATTCAGGATGGAGAAAGGAACAGCCTGCTACTCTAAATAATCTCCTGGATGTATGAAGTTAGCAAGCCAGGGCTGCTTCACTGGAGCTAAAGCAGCTCGTCTCGGTCAGCGGGTGACAGTTCCCAGTGTGTGGCCCTGCAGCACTTACTGGTGACTGCTGAGGAGCTGTCGCAGGTTGGTGGTGCCCATCCTTCTTCACACTGGCATTGCAGCTCGTGGTCGCACACCTGGGGAAGCACAAAGTCAGGTTGGAAATAAGAGTGAGGCTGTGATCCCATAAAGGTGTCAGTGGCTCTCGATCAGGGTCCTGATGAGGTTATTGAAGCTGGTTCTGGAAACCCCCTCGCATTTTACTTGGACTAAAATTTAGCACAGAGAATGGAAGTTTTGCACAGGAAAGGACAGGCCTGAGCATCTGCTGTTGTGTGTCTTTGGCAGGTCTTTCTGCAGTGAAAGCTCCAACAGAAGGCACAAAGCAGCAGAGTTGGTCTTTAGATCTGTACGTCTCTACACGTTTGAATAAGATGAGCACAATTATTTTCCCAAATCGGAAGATGACCTGAAAGAGAATAGCTGTGATACCCTGGCTCAGAGGCAGGGCCAGACACAGAATCTCTCTCCATCTGGTCATCTTAGCAAAAATTACTGATACCAGTCAGTTTAGATTTGCTTTCATAAAAATATAGGAAGATTCTGACTCCACAACTTAAGTCCCAATGACTTAAATACTGTCATCAATAAGGTCTGTAGCTGATATGCATAATTTTCTGTCTGTCTTTCATTAATAGCATGAAATAGTCATATCTTACAGCATGTCCGGTGCACTTGGCAGAGCAGTTGGTTGATCTGAAGACATCTTCAGCATAGACACATTGTCCCTTGCTGCACACCTGAAACGCAGAGGGCAAATGTTACCCGGGTGATCTATAGCTTTCAGAACATGCAGAACTTGCACACTATTGTGTAAAGTGATGAGGAGTAAAAGGAGGCACAGAAACAGGTCTGCAGATCACTTAAACCTACATTAGGAGTTTGATATGTGGACGTAATTTTTCATTCAACCTTTGGGTATTTTATAGCAAGGGGGAGTGACAAAGATGTACAGACATCGCTGTTTTCCCACTCCTCTTCAATCCTTCATCCTCCCCCCCTTCTCCCAAGTGGAAATATATCACAAAGAAATTGGAAATAGCACTCAGTGATGCCTAGCACACCAGTTATGGAAATAATCAAAAGTAGTAATATATGTGTGATCTTTTAATCGTTTACACAAAGGTATGTTTCTGTTGCCAATTACGTTTGGGTTAGTAAAAAATAACAAGACAGCAGTCAAACATAAGGCAACTGGAGTGAGAACAGTTCCTGTTTGCTTTGCTACTGCTTTGTGATGGGTGTAAGGCAGAAGGTACCACAAATCACAGCAGCAGAAGTTTAGTGTCTGCTTCAGTCTTCCCTTTTTAAAATCTCTCTTGTCTGATATAAGAGGTAACGACATAAGCGAGACTGAAAGAGGGGAAAAATAAGGAAAAAAGCCTTCTCCACTAACCATCCCATCCCCGCACTTTGTTCCATCGAGTATCATCCCTGCGTCTGCTCCTCCATTCCTAGGAAAACTGGCTTTGCAGGACTCGAAAGTCACCAGGCTCCCCTCCCGAGGCATCTCATTTCCCCCAGCACAGAACAACTTGCCGCACATTTTATCTCTGGAAGGAAAACAAGAGCTGCTAGAAGGACACAGCACAACAGAACTCTCTGAGCTGGTCTCTCCTCCAGCTTGGATTTGTTGTGTCTGTACAGGAACTCACAAAAAAAAAAAACCTGCAGAAAGGAAGTTTGGTTTGTGGTGTTTTCAGGTCAGTTTATGACTAGGAGGTGGCAGGTTCTTAATTCCTCCTGAGCTTATGAGGGAGCCCACAGTAATTTGCAGAAATGAGTATTTAACTGAACTGACCTCAACTTCTGAGATTCACCTGAGGTTCAAGTTCCCTGTCTCAAATCTCTTCCCCGTACTTACCTGCGCACACAATCACACACACACACACACAGAGTCATCCTCGTGACCTGGCTTGCACGTATCTATGTACCCACTTGCTCTTTCTCAGACTGATCTCAAAATTTGGAAGCTCGTTTTCTTAGCATTGTCTTGACCACAATATTCAAACTGAACAAGAAGGGACTCATGGACATATGTGCCATCTGAAATAATGCGCTCTTTGCTTCTGTCTCTTAATTAGACTAGGAGTGATGTCTCTTCCCAAATCTCAGCAAATTCTGTAACACAGTGCTTACTTTTTTTGACACGGGACGTGACTACCTTTTTCTTTTCTGCAGTATCCGTAATATACCCCTTTCTCGTTCATCCGGTAACAGGATAGTGCACCTTCAGTAGCATCTGTGAAAGAGCAAAATGCAATGGTGTTACTTTAAGTTCTCTG